TTTCTTTAGATTTTTTTAAACACTTTAAGAAATGGTCGATTCCACCTCTGTTCAATAAGATAATTGAATCAATCGAGGCGGGACAATTACAACCCTCCCTATGTAATGTGACGATATCACTGATATTAAAGCCAAATAAGTCCCCCACTAATTGTGCATCATACCATCCAATATCATTAATAAACTCAGATGTTAAAATAATTGCAAGACGCTTGGAAAAACAACTTCCGTCCTTAATAGTCCCTGATCAAAATGGCTTCATTAAAGACCGACAGGCTTTTCATAACATCCATAGAGTACTAAACATCATCTATGCAAAGCAGGGATGCACAAACACGGCAATAATCTCACTTGACGCAAAAAACGCTTTCGACATGGTCGAGCACCCATGTTTGTTCCACACTTTTTGGCGGTTTGGGTTTGGCGATTATTTTTGCAGCTTTGTGAAAATGCTATACCGATCCCCAAGTGCAGCAATCACAACTAATTTTGCCACATCAGAGCCCTTTCAACTCTCGCGAGGAACTAGGCAGGGGTGCCCCCTCTCGCCCCTTCTGTTTGCTTTAGCGATCGAACCACTGGCCATCACAGTCATACAATCCACTAATATAACATCAGACTAGGCGTTACTGAGAACAAAAAAGGTCTTTTTGCTGACGATATGGTTTTGTTCTTGATACAATTAAGAGGTTCAATTCCCAACTTCATGAAGTTAATAGACACATTTGGTTCGTTTTCAGGATATACAGTTAATGAATCAAAGTCGAACATCTTGTTTCTTAACTTTTTAGAATGAATCTCCCCACCAATACAAACCCCTTTCACCAACGTGAGCAACTTTACATACTTGGGGATCAAAATTACACCCACACCAAAGGATTTAGTAACTTGAAATTATGAGCCAGTAATAGAATCAGCAACCAAGATGATACAAAGATAGTCAACAATGCCATTCTCTATGCTTGGCCGAATCAATAGTTTGAAGATGACAATTCTACCTAAATTTTTATACCTCTTTCAATGCATACCACTTCCACCACCTCCAAACTTTCTCACCAATATGAACAAACTCTTCAGAGACTTCATATGGAATAACCGCAGAGCAAGACTTCATCTTACGCTTCTTTACTTGCCCTTCGATAGAGGGGGACTGAAACTACCTAATCTAAAATTATATTACTGGTCATGTCAACTATGGACAGCCTCTTTCTTGTTTAAATCTCATTTAAGTCTTTCTTGGGTTGATATAGAGAGATTTACATCTACCAATCTACCTCTTCAACTGTACCTATTCTCTGCAAGACCAGGGAAACTTAATAAATTCACAGACAACCCATTTATAAGAAATATAATATTTGTATGGCATGAGGTTCATAAATACTTGAATGATATCCCCAAGCTGTCACAGTTCACCCCCATTTGGGGAAATGAAAACTTTCCACCTGCAACAATGGACAAGGGGTGTAAATTGTGGGCGGATAAAGGTATTGCCAAAATAGCAGACCTATTTCAAGATGGAGTTTTAATGTCATTTGAAAAGATTAAGCAAAAGTTTGATTTACCTGCTAAGCATTTTTTTCAAATACCTACAGATTAGAGATTATATCCAAAAGACACATATGAATATCTCTTTACCCAATCTAACCACAATAGAAAATATAGCTGTTTGTACGAGGCAAAGAGGGGTTATTTCTATGTTCTATAAGACCCTGTTACTTGGGACCCAAGAATCCTCTGAGGAAAAGAGACTTGCATGGAGTACTGATCTGAAACAAGAAATTATAGACTCTGAATGGCAAACTATATGTAAGAAATCACAAACACAAACATGTAATGCCTGTCTCAAACGTTTGCAATATAAGTGGGTCATGAGATTATATATAACACCTGAGATTCTACAAGTTTAATGCTAACACTCCTGATGTTTGTGTGAAGTGTCAAACATGTAAAGGTACACTTATCCATTGTCTATGGTTATGCACAAAGATACAGACCTTTTGGAGAGAGGTTATTCAAGTTCTTTCTGTTATAACTGAGATGGACCTTCCTCTCTGCCCAAAACTGTGCATACTAGGACTACACCCTAAGGATATTAAGCTCAACTCCACCAACAGGAAGATGATCAGAATTCAATTTAAAATCCTTCTTTATACTTTCAAAGCCATCCATAACCTTGCTCCTCCATATCTGTCAGACCTCCTTCACATTGCCACCTCCTCCCGCTCCCTTAGATCCTCCTCCTCCATCCTACTGTACCCCCAGCTCGACTTGTCACCATGGAGATGTTGCACTCTTAACCTAAATGTAAGAAAGAAACCACATTCTCTAGGTTCAGAA